TATTTTATTTATGGTACTATAGAATGAGGTATCTGAATTGATAAATAGGACATTGCTTTGGAGAGGACACTACATGAGACTATTTTCAGGGCTTTCTAAGAAATTTCAGGTGTAGGAAATTAAGACAACTTGTTATTTAGTGAATCAATTGCCTCAATGTCATTGGGATTTAAGATATGGGTTAAAGGTTGGAACAGAAAAAGCATAGGTGATTTTAGTTTACAATGTTTTAAATGTCCTACTTTTGTCTTAATAGAGGATAATGAGTAGAAAACTTATATACTAAATCTAAGTGATATATTTTTCTCAAATATAGGCGTTAGGGGATATAAGTTATTGAATTCGATAAGATAGAACACAGTTATATTTTCCTCTAATGAGTGACACAATATCGAGAGCAGGGGTGAATTGATCAACTTTAGTTTTTACAATTTTCTTTTCACAAAATTATATTCTTAGAGAAACTAAAGTTGATCAAATCTATTCGTAAGGAAAGTAAAGTTGAGAGTGGATAAGATTTGGAAAATCTAAGTTTGTTAAAAAATGGATGTTTGGTATTAAGACAATTTGTTTCTCTTTTGATGATACATGAAAATATTATGCTTTTGATTTTAATCTCAAAATATGATAAAAGGCCATTTTGATTTTGGCTTTAATCATGGATATGATAAACAGTCATTCAATTTATGTTTTAATCTCAGATAAGATTAGTAGTATTTGATTTCAATCTTAACCGCAGATATAATAAATGGCAAAATCAATATTCGTATTTACCCAAATGTTAAACTTGATCCAATATTCCAACAAATAGATCTGTTAAGCCTTATATTTAGAAGTCATGAACCAAGTCCATTGTGTTTCAGATTTAGACAAATAAAAAGATCCATTACACCTTAGATATAGATCCATTATCTTTCAGATTTAGGACCAATAAACAGATTCATTACACCGTAGATTCATTACAATAATCATATCTATTTCACCTTAAATTCAATCCAAACAATCAAATCCATTACCTTTCTTTTAACTTGAAAAGAATAAAGATACAATATAAAAAGATTACACATTGTTTGATAGATAATATTCAAATCTAATTGCCAAAATATTTAAGATCTTCAAATTAAAAGATTATCCATATCAAAATTTTAAAATGACTAAACTACCCCAGATGTTATGATCATTGTAAAAACAATAACTTCTAAACTATTAAGGTCAACAAAGATGTGAGATTTGATGAAGTCTCAATGTTTAAGAGATTTTAACATACAAGTCTAATATCACTATTATCAATAGGATACGTGGATCAATAATGGGTTTGGTTCTTCCTTGGCTCAATGATAGGTCTTGTTCTCTCCCGCGCGCCGCACGCTGCACGCCGCATGTCATTTGGGATTTTTTGGCAGGCCCTTCCAACGTAATGTAATTGAAAACGGCCTCATTATCCGACACGTGGATTTAGACCTCGTCTCAAATGTCTTCCTCACCCTGCGCCTAATACGTCAACGGTAGCCTCCTTGTCGACCGTTCGAACCCTTTGGCAGCTACCCAGATTACACTGACACGTCGATTTCCAGCTCGTCACGGGCTGCAATTTATCTTCACGTACGTCCAGATGACCTTTTCAAATCCCCCAAGTTAAAGATATTGATAAAAAGGAAGGTTGATTAAGGTCAATCCCTATTCCAGACCGTTAATTTATTTACTACTCATCCTCTAAGGACGGTCAAATTCAGCATTAACTAGCAACTGCATTATGTCGAATTCCCTTTTGGTAGACGAACGCGTTGATTATTAACAACTAAGAGAATACTGAGAACATGTCGTTCGCTTCCAACATCCGATTATAGATATGTCGTTCACATGAGGCACGCTTTTCTCATTTCTGAATATGCGAGATTCTCTATCTCCTGACACTGCACATACGCTCACACATATACATACATATATGTGTGTACACTGCACATTCTTAATATTTTATTATTATCGCAAAGATTTGACTGATTCTAAATCAACCAGTCAAACAGGGGATACTGAATCGAAAGAGTATAGATGAACGCTTGATACGAAGTCAAGGGTTCAATTCGTCGAAGGCTTGATTGGGCTTGACGAGGAACATAGAGGACGTCACACCTTTCTGTTGTCAATGAGAAACTTGGATCAGTATAGAGGCCCGTTTCATCTACGGCATAAAATTGTGACTGGGTCAGCGGATGCGCCATTTTTCCCTAAGTATTAGTCAATATCATTCTGAGGGCGGGTTCTTATATCCAGCGCTTACATATTCTTCTCTAGGAGGTCTGACGGTACTTCGTCATCTATCCCGCGTACGACTAAAGAATCTGCGGTATGTCCAGCAGATGGTCAAGATTATTTATTTCATTTTATTCTCGTTATTATAAAGATAATGAACGATGGAAATGAAGTGTGAAAGGCAATGTAAGTATACGGTACAAGAGGAAAGGGGAGGGTTCGTTTCGCTCATTCCCTTCTATCTCATTTGTTTCTTTACATTGGGATGATGTTTCATCCTTCCCTTTATATAAAATCACTTAAACAACATGAGGCAATCATTCCATGTGTTTCGGTGCATTCAATTTATTACTTTTTAAAATAGGTATCTCCAATTTAAATACAATGAACCTAATCCATGGCAAAATAAAAAGGTTCTCCATGACCCTAATCCAATGATTCATATCTCTGAGAATGAACCCATACCAAATAACGATATCCTTTAACAGTACAGGTTCTACATACAGAAAATGATGCTTCCCGGGTGCAATTTCTCAGCAGGTTTATTTATTCACATTCTTCCTCGTCATTATCATTGTTGTCATTATCATCTTGATGTTCTCCACTTTGTCTTCTTCATCATTAAAAGGTAATTACAGTATCTTAATGTCTACAAAGACTGTCGTCTTAGGTAGAATAAAGGTCATGTTGCTCAGTCCAAGGTTTTAGTCTGGTGCAAAGGTGATATGAGAGAATATCGAAGCCATTGTATCAGGGTTGCTAAGAACTTTCCCCTCTACGGATATGCTTCTATTTCGTTAAAGTGAACCAGTCTAGGTAAAGCAGAACTATCATATTTTAAGGATTTCCAGTATTTGGATTATCGATGCTTATGCTACCATATACTTACTAGATTACTACGATATCTTTTACTTTACATGGGGATGAGTTATCTCGCATCATGTCATTTAGAACATGAGAGTAGTTGTAAAGATACCTGATCGAGATCGAGCGCCTTCTAATGCTTTCCAACTGCTCTATAGATGGAATCATCATGGAGTGTCGACATTTAGATTTTCATATTTTTGGTTAGCCATCGCAAAAATCTCATCAACGTCACTAAAACCCTTCGCATGTCTGCAGCGTTCAAGTAGTCCTGTAAAAGACCTTGTCCGATCAAAGGCTCCATATCACCTTCCTGAATTAGCAGCCCGCATGATCACAATGGTTTACCGCTCAAAATTATGATCCTTCGGCTTTCTTTGAACCCGCCATGGTCCAGTTTAATCCAAAGGTTATGATTAGCTCTACAAGCACGACTTCCTTGTCACCCTGTCATGTCTGAGCTCTCTGCGTGCTGTGTTCTTCAATTTTAATTTCACTTCAATAACAAAAGGAGGAAGAAATTCCCCAATTTCCTTCTGTTTCCAAGAATCTGATCTGCTCTCAGAAGATATCACGCGTGCGGTTGACTAGCAGTTGAGGAGAAATTGTGGGCCAGAATATGGCCGGATTAATATTGCCGAAGTGAATACGTAGACTGCAAACGAATTAGTGAGAGGACACTTTCAGGCCCACTCGTTGCCACAGTGTGAAGACGGATAAACGTGGGACTTTATCCGAGGATCTTCTAATTGTATTCGATCACCTCCATCTCGAAAGTGGATTCCTTGGAAGGCAGTACCTTCAATATTTTCTCTTTAAACTTCTCGGGTAACGAACTCTCAAGCTCTCCACGTGCGGCTAATTGGCTGATGATGCGATCTTCCTACGACTTCCAAGGCTATTGTTCCTCGCGGCAGCAGCCAAGATGGACCGATTCAGAGAGTACGCAACAACGGAAACACGCCTGTTGAGAGAATAGAGAAAGGTCAGATACCGCAGTTGGTGGTGGAACTGCCGCTGAAGGTCAGAAATAGAACAATCCTACGATCAGAACGAAATGGAGAGAAGAGTGAGATACATCTGGGTGTTCAGAACTCCCTCTCTGTCGCTCTCAAATTCTCGCTCTCCCTCCGTACGAATATATGCATGACAATGACTCTCTCTCCCTCTCCCTCTCCCCTTCTCTTCCAATTTGTGTCCAATTGCAATCTCTACATATCTTTTATAAACACCGGCGTTCTTTTATGCCAGTGAACCCGTGCAGTTTGAAAAGGTTTGAGGAAAGGAATTTAAATCGATTTTGTCCCTGATTATCAAATATAACATGAAGGAAAAAGCTTTAAGCACGGACAACTGTCAACCCTTGCGTTACGTTAATGTCATTTCGTCTTATACTCATTACAAGAACATGCCATCTTTAATTCCCGCAGTATGAGTGCGATTACAGCGGGGGCCGGTAACTGCTAGCTCCGTCCCTTTTTCTGAAATTTTCTTCTACCCTTTCACATGGAGGTCTCAGCTTCGAAAGCCTAAACATTTTTTTCGGTTCGGACGAATGCGTCAACGCTGAACGTGGCCTTACCTGACTGAGTCCTTATCCGATTAAAGACACGTGGAAGAAAACGTAGGGACAAAGATGACCAGAACTAGACAAATCGCTCTCCTCCTCCCGTCCCGTCCTATAAATAACCAATTCTCATACTCGATGGGATCCAATCATTCTCTTTCTTCTCTCTCTGTGCACATCTCTTCTTCTCTTCCCTTCCCAGTCATCCTCCCGACTAACTTTCCTTGCCAGCCTCTTTGCTTCTCTCATACGTCATATTTTCCGGGGAAGAACCAATATCAACATTTAGTAACAAAAAGTTCCAGGCTTTCTCGCGAATATGGGAAATTGCGTGAAGCGGCAATCTGTAGTAGACGATCAATGGGCGTCGGAGAAAACCAGCAAGGCGGGTGCGGGTCGCCGGAAGGGAGAGGAGTCACGATCGGCTACAGAAGTGAAGATTAAAATCAGCAGAAAGCAGCTCCAAGAGATCCTTAGGAAAGTTGACAGTAACGAATTGCTCATCGATGACACCCTCTCCCGTCTCGTGTCTGAAGCCGCTGCCGTCGAATTCAACGACTTCCACCGTAACGGCTACCATTGGCGGTCAGACCTCGAGAGCATACCCGAGGAGCAATATTAGTTGCCGGAGCGGTACTTGAATATGTTCTCTGGACAAGTAATTAGTTGCCGGAGCAGTACTTGAATATGTTCTCCGGACAAGTAATTGGTGGATTTTCTGACATGTCGGTGGGAAGCCCAGGGATAAGGCGACGTGAAGATGGGTCACAGAGGGGCCCATCAGGTATTAGACTGGTTGAAGACTGCGGGAGTTCTGATCGAACGCAAGACGGCGTGGGACGCCTAGTACAAATCCCGATATCTGAGCGGAGACGAAGGAAAATGAAATAAGAACCCACTTGGGGAAGCTCGCTCATCACTTCTGCCGTCCTTACTCTTGCCATCTTTTTCTATCATTGGCAGCACCGACGGTCTGGCATTCTATAAACGTACTAATGATTGGCGAGGTTGAGGAACCCCTGTAAATATAGTACCGCTCACTTCCTGCCCATAATTGCATAACCTAATTAAAGATATGTTTCTCCAAATTTCACTCAGTTCTAAAACGCTGTCTTCAGTTCCTCCTACTTTTTACCCATTGTTGATCGGAATATGTATTTCCTAGTAGTCTTTATTCCTCCGACATGTAGGATGTTCCACGATGAAATTCCTTAGTAACAAAGCGTCCAGAAGGATTCAAATGTCCATCTCTTATTTAACAGTCTATTACAGCTTTTAAATTTGTAAAATCATTAATCTTGCAGTCTTTATCTAGATGCTTGAGAAGAGGGAGAAATACCTGAAATTCTAAGGCAATGAGAATGTGTTTCCTACGTTGTGGGAAAAATGGAGCAAAGCATTGGGGACCCTGTAAATTTATAGGACCATCAATCTATTGGCTTCTAGAGCTTAAATAATTTGATGGTGATAAAATTGATAGAACTGTAAAATTGTATTCTTTGAATAGTAGAACCATATTACTCAATGATATAAATCACAGAAGATGGAAATAGCCTTAAAAAGAGGAAAACAGCCTCAAATGTAAAAAAATTATTTTATGTACAAGGATACTTAAATACCCTTGAATATGTCCAAATATTGTAGAGGCTGAATGCAATTGAGAAAAAAATTGACCAAATTTTGAATAAACTTCTTTTGCAAAATTTTGCATAACATTTTTTAATAATTTAGAATTTTCTCTTGGGAAAGAAAGAGTAACACAAATTAGTACATATGTGAGTCAACACTTTTATCAACATCAAAGAGGGAGAGAGTGGTTAAAGTGTGACGAGGAAAGGAAAAAAATTAATTAAAAAAGTGAGAGAGTGCTGCAACTGCAAGAGGAAAGATTTCTGACCATCAAATAAGTTTAAGTTGATGTATACTTATGAATTTAGAAGGATTTAATGGTCTACTAATTAAGTGTCAACCCAAAAGTAGTGAATCTAGAAGATGGTTTTGGGTTGAAATACTTGAACTAGATGAGCTGCTAAGTCTAGTGTTAGGTTTTCAATCTTTTTGTTGATGAAAAGATTTAAAAATTTAATTTAACTTAAATGGTCTTGAATCAAATGTTTTATCTTATAGAGTTTAATTCAGCATACTGATTAAAATTTGTTAATCACTAGAATTGAGAATGGCGAGCTTTATTCTGTGCATCATGCTGATTAAAATGTCATCTAATATTTAATTATCTATGATTTACACATAATTGATTAAATCCGTTAATTATTAGAGATACTTTCTAAATTCCATTACAATACTCAAATATCTTGTTTAATCAGGAAATGTTAAAAGTATTTAATTATGTCCTCACAATTCCAATCCATTCATTATAGGGTATCTAGATTGTCACAATACATCCTCATGAACCTTTTGTAGCTTTAAAATCATAGTCATGGTAAATTGTTGTTTTGGAATCAAACTGAGCAAAGGTCTCATGCTACAGAAAGTAAGTGAAAATCTAACACCTAATCATTCAAATAGTTTTATTCCTCCAGTCCTATCATAGATAAACCATGCCAATCCTCATAAATATAGTTGTAAGAAAATTTGATTTTGGAAAGGGTGAAAAGAAATCAATTTTATAATTTTTATCATTATTATAAATTAACTTAGATTTAATAAAGTTTAACTTAAGTAATTGGTGTGACAGAATATGGTCCAATTTATAGTTGCTGTAAATGACCATTGGGCAGCATAAAATTCAGTCTATAAATAGGAGACTTCGTCTCACATCAAAGGCTGAGGAGTGTATGAGCAACAATATCCATATAAGCCCAACAAAATGTTCATATGAGCATAGAGGAATATTTGGGTGGGGAATGAAGAGGGATCTACCTTACACTCGAGCATTAAGTTTTTTCTTCTACATGAAGAGGTACTTATGCAATATCAAGCAAAGGATTTCATGTCTACAAAAGCCTTTGTTCTAAAACACAAGAGTGGTAAGTGTTCACTTTTGTGTTAGATTATATTAGTAACTCATAGGCTTCTGTGCTACGATGTAGGGCACAAAATAATTCCTCCAAAAAGAGTGCCTTCCACAACTTGAAGCAAGTGCAAACAAAAAAAATTGTGTGGTAACTCATTCTTCTTGATAACGGAGCACATATAGTACTCTAATATTTTGATAATACTTTTCAAACCTAGAGCCCTTAATCTTGATGGGTTTCATATTGTTATACTCTAGCTTTGGTTGAGCTTGAGACATGAATCTAGAAAGGATTAGAGAGGTGCTAATCTAGTTTAGCTGAACCAGATCTATTAATCTAAAAATAACTAATACTATAATTTTACTTGACCCAGAAGTATCAAAATTGAGAAAGGATTAGTAGGGTCTTAATTTTTTTGGTTAATGATAAAACATGAATAATGTGTTGGAATACACATTAACTTAGTTAATTTTACATTTCTATGATGTTATTCATGTGTTGTTCACATCAATAAATATGATTTTTAACCTATTTCAAGGCATATTAATGTTTTAAATATTTCTTAGAATTTTATGAGATTATACACATTTGGGTGGCTTATTAAACTAAATTATTTTAGATGTTGAATATGCATTTATGATTTTCCTAATCATTTTCCAGATTTTAGGAATTTATGCCCCATGTCGTAGCTACATCAATGGCTGTGATACAGCAGCTCAATTATTACTTACGAGAGTGAGGAGGCAGCCTTTTGGCAAGAGAAGGATCCAACAGCTCAGAAGAGAGCATACAAGAAAGGAGTTTATAAACTTTGTCCTTACTGAAGAAATATCAAAAAACCTGTTGACAACAATTGAGCTGTTGATATCAAAAAACAAGACCTTACAAGAAGGGAGCCAAAGAATGTACCTCATTGAGAAATATCAAAAAACCTATAGTTGGTGGGTATTTTAAGCCACAATGAAACCTCATATTTTCATTCCACACGTACAATGATAAAATTCAAGTCGTAACCACATATTTTCTACCTATAATGGCTCTACTACATCATTCGGATCTTATCATCATTTCCTTATATATCCTTATATATCTTTATGAACACTTTTTTTTGAGAAAGTGGTATGGAAGCAATTATAACCTTAAGAAAGTAACAATATCCCCACCACACTTCAGCATGATCAACAATAGAGTACATTTCATTAGTAAAACTAGAGATGCAACATATCAAGTCTCTCAATTTTCTATCATACCCTCAAAATATTTCATCTCCATTGACGTAGGTCTTGTTTTTTTCTTTTGAAACAGTCAATAATGTTCACAGCCTTTATGAAGGATGGGACATAGAAATTGATACCAGCTTGCATTATATGAGAATCAATGCAGCTCCTTCTAATGAATCAAAGTAATCAAAAGAGATGTGTCAAAAATAAATGTCTCAAATTTGGTTGTTGAAATCATTCAGACTATTGTTTTGTAGAAAGAAGGTTGATTGAATTTTAATTACATGTAAAAAATTTAACTATATATTAGAAAGAAAACTCAATGAAACAAGAAAACATGAAAATTTTCAGGAGGATATTGTTGAACTCAAGTAAGGGACTAGCAATGATTTAAGTTTGGGGGGTGTGATAAGTCTTCATTATCATGAGTTAATAATTAGTAAATAATATAATTTTAGCCTTAACTAATGATAAATAGACTTATATTTGTGTTACAATATAAAAAGTGGTTTTCAATTGATTAATGTGAATTTTTATATGATTTTATACGATGTTTATAATCTTATTTTTGAGATAAATGAAGAAAAAGAAATTGAAATAAAAATAGTAAAATAGAGGGGACCCGCAAGTGAGTCGGAAGCATAGTTGGGTAGGAGCCGTGAGTAGGGGTTCGAGCGGCTTGAACTGATAAGGGCACATGTGTGTCACTCCCCTTCCACGTTACTAGTGGTCAGCTAGCTGTGAGGCAAGGAGTGGTCATACACATGCAAGAAAGGGACTTGATCTGAAATGAAATATTACTATATATTTGCCAGAAACTTCGACGCACAATCGATGTGGGACTAAACCCACGTCACCTTCCCTAGAAAGGGGGAGACAACTGACATAGGTTTGAATCCTCCCAGAGCCAAAACTCATATTTTTTATCTAATTATCATGACTTCCTTGTACATCACTGGTGAAGAATTAAGCAACCAGAATCGCTAGATCATCGGCAAAATCTCGTCAACACAGTTCGCAGAGCATTGTTACTAAAATTGTCGAACGATTCATGATAAAAGGATTATCACGAATTTGTCGGGTGACAACCACTAGAGAGTTACAAAGTCGTCATTTTTTCGCTCCACTAGGTGACAGCTACTAGAGACAATTTGATGACCCATTTCATTGATCTCTAGACTTCACAAGGAGATCTAGAGATGGCCCACATCATCCTTGTCCAAGGAGAGCCTTCGAGGTCGTGGACACTGTAGGATAATCCTCCCGAACACTCAAGATTCTAGCGATTCTAAATAATATCTGATAATTATTCAGAATTTTCCTCAAAGAATACTATTTCTATGAATTTTATACTAAGAAATGCAAAGGAAATATATTTAAAATTTACGAAAAAAGGAAATAAGGGTGCTGACGTCAAGATGACGTCA